ATTCTTTTCATAGATAATATTTTTTCATAGATAATATTTTTTCATAGATAATATTTTTTCATAGATAATATTTTTTCATAGATAATATTTTTTCAAACTTTGTCCAAATTCCAAACAATGAAAAGGAGATATTAGGAAAGTATAAGCCAGCCATGAATGTTCTAACAATTTTGAAGTGAGAGAATTAAAATAATTGGGTCTATGAATTAGATCTAGCAGAATTCAAAGTTTGAAATATATGATGTTTAGGACATCAGGTAGTAGACATCGTGACAATTTTGTTTCATTTTCGCACTTCGTTCGCTAGCGTAAATTTTTACTTTTTTCGCGAAATTTCGCTTCAATCTGTTTCGCGAAAAAATAATGCGAAAATTTCGCGAAACAAATGGAAATTTTCCAAAAAAAACACGAAAATTTCGCGAAAAACACAGAATTTAAAAAAAATGCAAAATTTTAGCGAAAAAGTTGCAAAATTTCATCAAAAAAGATTAACAACTAGGAGACATCAGACAATTCATAGATTTGCTGGAAAATTCTTTCTCGACCGTTAAGATCTTTCTTCTTAAAACAAAAGATAAAATCTACTACGGGAAGAACCAAAATAATTCAGAAACTTAAAAAGATAAGAAACGTTTCGCAAAAAATGCGAAAGAAGCGAAAACTTTCGGTCGCATTTTACAAAATTTTCGCGAATTTCTTTTTGCTAAATTTCGCGAAAAAGTTTGTGAAATGCGACCGAAAATTTTCGATTCTTTCGCATTTTTTGCGAAACGTTTCGTTTGCTGGAGGACGTAGGGAAAACGTATCAAACCGTCAAATGTTAAAAATAAGTTATAGTTTGAAGATAGACAATTTTTAAATAACTTTGAAAAAAAATAAAGATATTTATTAACTACAGTCATAACCCGAAAACAATGGAATAGGAAGACGACATATAGCAATACTTAAAGGGAGTGACTGGCTATGTAAGGTAGTTGAACTGAGTATGCAGTGTTGTGGAAAACTTCTTTCGGAATTTGAGACATATTAAACTTTTTAAAGATCTGTAAATCCTGAGTTTGAGCGCAAATTCGACGTTCAAAACTCCTACTTTGGGGTTGGATACGTTTTCAGAATTAGTTTTTTTAATTATTATAACTTATTTTTAACATTTGACGGTTTGATACAGTTTAAGTGTATTTGATGTTGTCACAAAGCAAATTATAGTTTTGCCTGACACTTACTAATCCACTAATTTAGCGAAATGGGTCTGTTTACACTGCACAATTGATGTGTCTTGTACTCAATGGGCTTTTTAAAGTTATAACTTGATTCTTAAATTCGTCTTCCTACTCCAGAGTTTTCTGGTTATCACTGTGTTATTTACTATCGTTTAATTTAATACTTGAAAACTTCTAAAAATCATTAAATAATGTCTATGCGCTGGAATTGTGAACGAAAAATATTCTTTTCTCTGGCCATAGTTGCTTCTGAAAAGTAAGACTAATACCATTGAATAGCTAATATGGCTATTTAGATTACCCTCAAATTACCCAAATAAGTGAACGGTCCCTTTAAATTTGTTTTGTTTCAAGTAATCAGTTACTTTAAAACTAGAATATATAAACTTCATTCTATATCTTACCTTCATTCCCAGGAAATCTGTAAAAAGGGTAAAGAGCCTCTTTTCCATCACTGCATAGAATGCAGGGTATTTCTTTTAAATATAGGTTTTATCTTGTAGAATTTCTCTTTTTTTGGAAAGGGGGGGGGACAACACTTTAATAAAGGTCGAAAATCAGCAAAGTTTTAAGTGATCTTTTTAATTTTTTTTCTTCTAAAAATAAAAATTTTAAATATTTTTCTCTTTACCTTATAGTGTTGACAAGATATCGAACATTTTCCTCAGAACCAAAAAGAAACGTGCTCATTCTTAATTAGAGCCATATTTATTTGAAATTAAAACTTTTGTTCCAAATGATTTTAAATTAGGTAAAATGTCGATATACGCTTTAGAAAAAGACTAACGTTTAAAAATAAAAGTTTTTTGAGATTTCTAAATAAGCTCATTGTGATGTACAGTGATAACCGGAAAACTGTAGAATAGAAAGACGACATTAATACTACAGAGCATATAATGCTATTATAAAGCAAATAGCTTTAGTAGAAAGTTATTAAAACACTTATTAAGTGAATTTTAACTGCACCTGTGTCTTATTTTCATTGGACTATTTATAGTAAAAACTTGCATCTAAAAGTCGACTTCCTATTCCAAAGTTTTCTGGTTATCACTGTAGTAGAAATACTGGAAATGGATTTCCAAAATATGATACAGAATTTATCTGAAAATGACGAAATGAGAGCCATTTTAAGGAAATATGTAATAGAACAAAAAATCATTGGAATGAACGACAAAAGATTCTTCAAAATATTTCGACATGGGTATTAAAAGATGTATATCAAGCCGCTGAACACTGTCCACATTATTATTTTCTCATAATTATTAATCTCTTTGATTTATGGCCAAAATACGAGTTTTTTATGGGTTTAATATTTTTATACCCTATTGATTTATTTAAAGATTTTTTTTACGGTCTTACAAGTGACTTTTTTTTTCTATTATATTAAATAGCTCTAAGCCCGCCATAATTTTTTTTGCGAAGTTCTTAAATTTTTTTTTTTTTGTGCATTTATCGAAACATTGACCCATCCTGATAAATATATATAAATATTTATACAAGGTTTAATAATCGAAAAATTATCAGAGGATTACATCATCAGGGACCGAATTTAATGAATTTGAGCTACGTCGCTACCGGTTCAAATTTGAATGTAAAACAATGTACAACAATGTACAACAATGTACAACAATGTACAACAATGTACAACGATGTACAACAATGTACAACAATGTACAACAATGTACAACAATGTACAACAATGTACAACAATGTACATGTACAACAATGTACAACAATGTACAACAATGTACAACAATGTACAACAATGTACACCAATGTACAACAATGTACAACAATGTACAACAATGAACAGTTTTCTATGTACAACAATGTACAACAATGTACAACAATGTACAACAATTTACAACAATGTATAAAAATTTACAACAATTTACAACAATGTACAACAATGTACAGCAATGCACAACAATGTACAACAATGTACAACAATGTACAACAATGTATAACAATGTACAACAATGTACAACAATGTTCACCAATGTACAACAATGTACAACAATGTACAACAATGTACAACAATGTACAACAATGTACAACAATGTACAACAATGTACAACAATGTACAACAATGTACAACAATGTACAACAATGTACAACAATGTACAACAATGTACAACAATGTACAACAATGTACAACAATGTACAACAATGTACAACAATGTACAACAATGTACAACAATGTACAACAATGTACAACAATGTACAACAATGTACAACAATGTACAACAATGTACAACAATGTACAACAATATACAACAATGTACAAAAATGTACAACAATGTACAACAATGTACAGCAATGTACAACAATGTACAACTATGTACAACTGAGAAAGTTTACCTAGAGTACGCATGGTTGAGAAGGAAGGGATCAACTGCAATCACTCTAAAATATCATAATAATTAATCTTTAAACGGATGGTTTTTGAAAATATTTATCTTTAAAGGGACTGTTTTCAGATTACTTTATCTTAAAAGGGATTGTTTTCAAAATATTTTATTGTTAAAGGGATTGTTTTATCTTTAAAGGGACTTTTTTCAAAATATTTTATCTTCAAGAGGACAATTTTTAAAATATTTTATCTTTAAAGTTATTGTTTTCAAAAATTTTTATCTTTAAAGGGACTGTTTTCATAATATTTTATCTTTGAAGGGACTGTTTTTAAAATATTTATGTATTTTCTATTTGGAAAAGTATTGTTCTGTCAAAGTAAACATGAGCAAAGTTATGAATTAAACATCGCCCTCAAAAATTTTTTACAACGAATATTTTTAAAGCAAAAATAAATGATTTAAATAATCAATATACTTTTTATATATTTTTATTGTTACTAATATTCACTCACTGGAAAAAGTAGCCATATTTCTTTCCCAAACATGACAAAAAATTAAAAACCGTAAAAAATTTCTACAAATTTTGAATTCCAAAACTCCAAAATATTTTAATGAAATTATAATGTTATAACTGCCTTTAATCTACCAGGTTTCCCACAAAGAACAAGATTTCAGAGACGACTGTACGGACAAATTCATTTTTTATTTCTAAAATTCAAGGCACCCAACAGCTTTATTGTCTTGTTATCTTTTCCAAATCCTAAAATTGACCCTTTGAATTTTTTTTTCAAATCATAACCCCAAATTATGCCTTCAAATTATCGCTAGAGTATTCTTCTTTATGGATAAACCTGTATTTTAACCTGTGTTTAAATGCTGCGGCTGCAACGCTAAAAGTTCCCAGGTTGGCTCCAAGATCTGCAGATTTTCACTTTATTTTCTTCATTCAAAACTATAAACTTAGAACTTTAGTCTTTAACAAATATTGATCATAGCAAATGTGACAAAGTAATGGTATACAAATCTCTCATGAAATATCCCAATATCCGCGAAAATTGGATCAGTTTGATTGGACATTTGGATATCTGAAAATATGTTTGACAATTTATTCAAAATGGGCTCTGTTAACGGTTAATAGAAATACAAGAAAACTACCAAGAATCTTCTCAATACAAAAAGTAATAAACTCATTATCTTATATAAAAAGATGGCTGCAAAGTGTGAAACATGTAAAAAGATAGTTTAAAAAAAAACGTTTTATTAGGTCTTCTGAACTGGAGGAAAAAACAAACGTGTTTATATTTTGATTTATGTAAAAAAATTGACTAAAAACCTAATAAGAAGTCTCGATAGATTAGTCGTGCTACAGGGTGTCCCAGTAAACATGGGAATTTAGTGACGAATTCGATATCGTCTTTTCAAATAATTCTTTGATTTAGTATAGTAATACCTACTGAGAAACCTGTAATCTGGAAGAGCTTCGTCTGCTATGTTCACATTTTGTTTGTTTATGTTTTGACTGCATACGGTTGTACTTAGGAAAACAAGAAAATTACAGTATACAAACAGAGTAAACTTATCCGTCTTCACTGTTCATCTTGCAGAGACATTATAGACACCACTTTACAGTCTTTTACCATTTTCATATAATAAATTCTAGCAGACATAATAATATTATGGCTGTTGAAATTAGGTATTACGATGCTAATTCATAACAAAGACGATATCGAATTCGTCACTGAATTCCCATGTTTTTTGGGACAACCTGTACCATAGTCACATTATGGTTACACCTACCAGAGATAGATAGATAGACTTGACCTCTATTGAAGAACGCATAATAAAATGATTATGAAACATTTTTCACCAATTTAACATCAAAGTCTACCTCAAAGTCGTCATTTCCTTGTTTATTAGGTCATTTCCTTGTTTATTCTAAATTGCATTTATTAGAAACAGTGTTCATGGGAAAATAAGTTTCCTAAAAATGTTGAGTTAGGATAATCAAGTATCAGAGAAATCAAAAGTTCAACTTCGTTTTGCATCCAAATACCTTAAAAATACCTAAATGTTATTAAAATAATAAATATTATCGTAAATTTTTAACTTTCGTCAATCGTCATCTTTATGCAAAAAAATATTTCATAGTTTTAAATAGAACACAAAGATTTCCAAGAAGCTAACTGTGGAAAGAGCTTTGAAAAAGGGAAGCAGCATGCCTCAAAAGCTGCGTTCATAAATGCAGATATGAATCATATTGTTCAAACAAAAATGTGAAACTAATTGTTTTAACATTTTTTCTTTGAAAATCTTTCGAAAGAATTATTACGATTTTTAAAATATTACTAGCTGAAGTTCCTGGCGTTGAAGAACAAAATTTCGAGTTTTGACAAAAATAGATTTTTGAATTAAAGAATATTTCAATTTTAGCCTATGTTTTTCCCGGAGTCCCGGATACTCAAGGGTTCCCTCAAAAATGTCAGCCATTTTTGTTCAACCGTTTGGCCAACTTATAGCTAACATATATATACAAATATACAAATATATATGAGTGAAAAGCTTTATTATATAGATGATTTTATGTAAAATGTACTCACCATCTCGTAGTATGTAGTCGGAGACAAGCTAAAAAATAAAATATAGGATTAGGTTTTCATAAAAAAATTATGAATAGAATTTTATCTAACAAAACTTATAAACACTTCCTTTAAGCTGGCTATGCCATTTTTACTATGGTACCCTTACAAGCTTTGTCTGATCAAAAGTGGATTAAATTGTTTCACATTTTGAAAATTGAATTTTTTCAAATACGGTTTCACTAAAAATATGACCCGCAGGAAAACATTATAGAAATGAAATCAAACAAGTTCAAACCTAGAACACGAAAATATCTTCAATGTGGGAGATATTTTCGTTTTTCTAAGTATAAAAGTATTTATTTTTATTGCCATATGTTTTCTTGAAATATAAAGGAGCAAGTCACTTTGGAGAGAAACCACAATTGAAAATAATCAGTATGTAAAATTATAAACAGTGATATCTAATTATCCAATTTATAATAGAACAAGGTTTTTAGTGTACCGTTGTGAATCTGGCATTGCCATCTTTGCATGAAAGTTGACTTAAAATTAAGCCGAACGATTTGAATTTTTGCTTGCCCGATTTAAAAGACACCTCCTCTCCTGCTATTATATACTTACATCGTTAGGTTTGGCACACATTATAAAGCTGATTGCTTGCGGGGCCAGGGGTGGAGACCTGAACACAGTTTTTAAAATTTATAACAATTCTAAGAACATAAAAAATTGTGCAATAATTGCACAAAGATTTTTTTCGATTCGAGTAAAAATTGCACGAAATTTCGATATAGTGTTGCATTGATGCTCAAAAGCTATTTCGCAAAAATTCTGAGGAAAATCTTGGTTTTTGAGTATTTCGTTGTTTCAAGCTATTTCGTTATTTCGACCTATTTCGTTATTAAAACCATATTTCGTTATTGCAAGCTATCTCGGTAAGTTTCGAGAATCAATTTCAGGAAATGAATGAATTAATCACTCAGGCTTTCTTGCACACAAGTTTAAGACAATTAATGGTCCAGCCGACGGAGAGATTTAGGTTTCAAACAAGGAGATAAACAAATAAGAGAAATGTATACATGTTTATAGATTGATACAAAGATGTCATCAGTAAAAGACTGAGTCGCACCTCCATTGGCATCTTTATAGCGTTTTCTTAAAACATATTTATCATGACAAATTTTATCAATGAAAGTAACCAAAATTTTAACAGTGTCTAAACTACAGGGTGTCCCAAAAAACATGGGAATTCAGTGACGAATTCGATATCGTCTTTGTTATAAATTAGCACTGTAATACCTAATTTCAAAAGCCATAATATTATTATGTCTGCTAGAGTTTATTTAATGAAAAGGGTAAAAGACTGCAAAGATGTGTCTATAATGTCTCCGCAAGATGAACAGTGAATACGGACAAGTTTACTCTGTTTGTATACTGTAATTTTCTTGTTTTACTAAGTACAACCGGTTGTAGTCAAAACATAAACAAACAAAATGTGAACATAGCAGACGAAACTCTTACAGATTACAGCTTTCTCAGTAGGTATCACTTTACTAAATCAAAGAATTATTTGAAAAGACGATATCGAATTCGTCACTGAATTCCCATGTTTTTTGGGACACCCTGTATGAATATGATAATAATGTGATTATTGTTCATGAACAAAATACTACAGCTAAGCTATGAAAGAATTTTTTTTGTACTGAATCTAATTTACATCTTTTCCTTATTTTCGTATTCATGCACCACAAAGTACAAAAATTACAATTTTTCGTTTTCGAGCAAAAACTATGACCTTGTATTCATGAGCAAAATGATGTAAAAATTATTGTTTAAATTTTATATTTATGCGCAATTTCGTGCAAAAAATTATTAATTTTCGAAAGAATACACAATTTTGTACAAAACTGGTTTCGTATTGATATGAAAATTATGCGAAATTTTTTGCAAAAAGAGTCATTTCGTGGAAAATTTAATTTAAAACGTCCGATGAGCATGAGACACACCAATTGTGCAGTATAAACAGACCCATTATACTAAATAAATTATTTCGTAAGTGTTTAGTAAGACTATTTGCTTTGAAACTACATCACATACAACTAAGTACTGCTACAATATTGTAATCCTGTTCCATTGTTTTCTGTTTATCACTGTACATTATTTTTATATAATACTTTCCTAACGCAGGCTTGTGGATGTATACGAGGCAAATCAATCCCTAATCAATTCCATTTTTAAATTATTAAAATTAATGCAAAATTATTTACCGTGAACCCCTGTATTTTTGGTACGTTTTTATCTTTCAATGGATTTTACAGTTTGAGGAGGCCAGTAGAAATTAAGAAACATCAACATAGTATTCTTCACAGAAATTTAATTTCGATTGAACTTTTTGAATATTTATAAAATTATAATTACCATCCTTCCACAATTAATATGCAAAAATCAAAGAATTATACAATGATATTTACATAGAAGCGAAATTCTTGAATTCCAAGAGACGACATTAAAATTGGTCAAAGTTTTAAAGGGATTTGCGGCATCTCTATTTCACATTACTCTCCGAGATTCATTCAGCGTACCAGAGCGAATAATTTCGTTTAGATTTGAATTTATTAAAAAAACCAAATTTGTCCAAATCTAAATTTTTTTTCATATCTCTGTTAACTTAAACGTACAGTAATAGGCGATTATTTCAATTGAAAATAACTAATCTTATTCCGTTATTAGTTTCTGTAATGTCTCATTGTTTAAAACATTTTCTGTGGATTTCCTGCAATTTTCATTGACGACATTTGAAGAATTTAAAGAAATCTGCGAACAAATTTGTAAAAAATAAGAAATTCAATATAATGATGTAAAGGAAAGAATTAATTCTAACATTAGTTTATTGACAAATTTCTATTTAGATTTATGTTCCTAAACATCCAATTAGTTTACTCTAGAAATTTTGCTTCCTTTTTTTGTCGTTGTTATTTAATAATTTAAAAAAAATTGATTCTCAAAATCATCCTTCCAGAATGAACAATGAAGGAGGATTTCAAAAATTTGAATTTGGTCTCTTGCTGATAAAATATGCACTGTAACAAAGTCTGATCGGCCTCGAATGAATCCTGAGAAAATTCTTCACAAAACTACATTCTTAGTTCAACTACCTTAAATTGACGGTCACTCCCTTTAAAAATCATCAATGTAAACTTATATTGACAAAAGAATGCAGTACATTGTTTTAAGATCTGATACGATGTTTAAGTTGTCTCTCAATTGTAAAAAATTTCCGATTCTTTGTGAATATCTCTTTTTTTCAGACATTTTAAATATGATCAAATTGGTTGGTTCCTTGAATCTCTTTCAGTCCAGAGGGCTTAAATGTTTTCAAATCTAAAGAAGGAATTATTAAAAAGATATATATTTTGATAAATTAATACTATTTGAATTGCTACATTATACAACTTTTTGCTTTTTTAAAAAAATTCACACTTGAGATTTTTAAAGTGTCGTTTTCCTATTCCATAGTTTTAAGTATCCCCGGCTGTTAAATATGGTACTTAAAACACAAAGATAATATATATATAGATATGCAGGCAGGTAGAAACCTCCTTCCTAAATTGCTTGTAGCAGACAACTAATTTTTGAACCTTAGAGAGAAGGTGCAAGGAGAGACATCTATAGCAAATTGATTACTTTCTATATTCCTTTCACCCCTTGCTGCCTTCTGTAGGAAATACGCATTTGTGTTATAAAAACATACAGTACGCGTATTGCATCCTGTATAGTTCAAGTGTTGCTATCTGGACCTGTTTGACCAATAAAATTAAATTTCAAGGTAACACAAACATACAGTACGCGTTTTGTTTATGTTATGATCAGATCAGTTGTACTTTGTCCTAGATTCGATGTACTTTTATAGTAATAATTTTTATTTAAATTGCGTTAATTTACGTATGCCATTCAGTACAACTTGCACATTTAAACTTTGTCTAGTCAAATTCCTACCTCAGTTTTATTTGCATTGATTAATTTGTTTCATTAAGTACAATATGCAGTATACATTGTTGATACTATAGTACGCATTTAGTGTTATCACGCATAAACAAAGTGATAAATTAGCAACAATCCAGAGGATAAAATGCCATGCGTACGACAGAGATGGTGCTGTTTGCACCTTTTCTCAAGACCTCAAAATTTATACCTGCCTGTATATCTATATATATATTATCTTTGTTAAAACACTGTAAGAGTAAAGCTTCCTAAATCACTCCAAAGGATTATGTAAGTAACTATGCGCATTATATTTAAACATGACTTTACAAACATATTTCACCTTTTTAACTCCGCCAAGCAGTAGTGGGCTTAAATTTTTTTTTTTTAGATTTTAAGGTTAAAGGTAATCACGAGACGTCAATTTTTTCAAAAAAATCAGACCAATACTTTCTAAATTTTGAGTCTTGTAAATTTTTCAACTTTAGTTTCTTTATAAGAAGACAATGATTGTGCCCACAAAGAATGAAAATATAAGACGACTTATTATTTCTGTCAACCTGAAGGATTTATTTATTACATATTTTTAAAGAATAATTAAATGAAAAACACCAAGTATAGTTACAGGAAATTGTAAAGAAAGAATAAACACTAAATGAACATCGTGAAGTCGTGTATGAAGTTTCATTCTTTGTGTTCTACCCTGTATCATAGGCTTACATATAAATTTTCTAAGTAGAAAAAAGTACAACAAGAATTTTTCTAACCTGCTAATATTCCTTTCAGTCCAGAAGCTGATGGTTGGTATTCAAAAATTTCAAAATCTAAATCAAAAGGTAAAAAAACTGTTCGTAAGTGAACATTAATGTGCACATGTACTTTCGCTTTTCTAGCGTGAAATATATGAAATTTTGTCAACCATTGTTTTTGTTAGCAAAAATCCGCAAGTAACTTTTCCGGAGAAAACATAATTTAAAAAAAAATCAAATCTAAAACAATGGAGTCATAACTCGTAGGCACCGTTGTTAATCGGACATTCCAATCTATGTAAAATGGTTTACTAACAGTTACACGAACGTTTTTTAATTCCGGAAATTCGAAATATAACGTAATATTCTTACGAGTCCAATAAAAGTTTAGAACTGTTTGTATTTCACATATTTCTTGAAATTTAAAATGTTTGAATTTCACATATTTCTTAAAATTTGAAATATAACGTAATATTCGTACGAGTCCAATAAAAGTTTGGAACTGTTTGAATTTCACATATTTCCTGAAATTTGAAATATAACGTAATATTCTTACGAGTCCAACAAAAGTTTAGAACTGTTTGAATTTCACATATTTCTTGAAATTTGAAATATAACGTAATATTCTTACGAGTCTAATAAAAGTTTAGAACTGTTTTAATTTCACATATTTCTTGAAATTTGAAATATAACGTAAGATTTTTACGAGTCTATTAGAAGTTGTAGCTTTATTAGAATGAGCCCCATAAAACTGTGGAATAGGAAGCCGACATTTAAGCAATCCTTTATGAATTTTTGGTTTTAACAGGCAATTATTTTAATCTTAATAATGTGGAATGAAAATGTGTACACTATACAATTGCTGTGTTTTATGTTCATTGTTCATGGATCTTATGAATCTCAACGTAGAATTCTACTTATAAAAGTAAATATGTTTTCTACCTTTTGTGAAACGTTGACACTATTAATTTTTTTCTTTAGATTTCGATTTAAAAAATAAAACAAAAATGTTGTAGAATCTGTTCATTTACGTCAATTATCAACTACAATACGTCATCTAAACTAATCATACACTCTTTCAGTAATCTCATTTAGAAGACGACAGTTCTCTCTAAGAAAAGGTATGTACTTTGCTAATTGAACTACTGTCATGTGAATTACTGATTTTAACTGCACGTGTGTTTCTAAATATAAGTTTAAAACAAAAGGTTTGAGGTAAATTCAGTTTTTTTTGATTATTTTTTTGGCATACCTAGAAATTAAATGACTCAAATATATAAATAATAATACTAACAATGATACTAAAAATGTTTTGCTTAAAATACATGAAATGACATTAGTCCAGGATGAAAATGAACAATTTGTTCCAATAAAAAGTAATTTTTATTGAGAGACCCCAATTAAAAAAATCATATTTTTAAATAGAAAGACATGGGTTTGTTTATTAATTCTTAATCAGGCAGAACTTGACAACTCGTAATTGGGACATTAGCCAATTATATATTTCATTTTTTATTGGGTGTACTCGGTGCACCATAAAAAAAACTCCTCCCATCGTGATAGGATTAAATAATTTCATCTCTCCAAGTGTAAAATAATCAAGTTTATAAAACCCAATTTAACTTCACTTGTTCAAAACTTATGTTTGGAAATCTTGGATTTACAATGTAATCATCTTGTAGATTTTAGAGTGAAAACTATAATCCTCTCGTAAATTTTAGGTAGAAAAATGTAATCATCTCGTAGATTATAGGTAGAAAAATGTAATCATCTCGTAGATTTTAGGTAAAAAAATGTAATCATCTTGCAGATTTTAGAGGGAAAAATGTAATCATCTGGTAGATTTTAGAGTGAAAACTATAATCATCTCGTAAATTTTAGTAGAAAAATGTAATCATCTCGTAAATTTTAGGTAGAAAAATGTAATCATCTCGTAAATTTTAGAGTGAAAAATATAATCATCTCGTAGATTTTAGGTAGAAAAATGTAATCATCTCGTAGATTTTAGGTAGAAAAATGTAATCATCTCGTAGATTTTAGAGTGAAAAATGTAATCATCTCGTAGATTTTAGGTAGAAAAATGTAGTCATCTCGTATATTTTATGTAGAAAAATGTAGTCATCTCTTAGATTTTAGTTAGAAAATGTAGTCATATCGTAGATTTTAGGTAGAAAAATGTAATCATCTCGTAGATTTTAGGTAGAAAATGCAATCATCTCCAAGATTTTTGCTATAAAAATGTAATCATCTCGTAGATTTTAGGTAGAAAAATGTAATCAATCCAGTAGATTTTAGCTAGAATTATGCAAACAAATTCTAACAAAATTGGATTTTTGCTGATATCTATTTCAAATGTTTTAAAAATTGGCGGCATTTAAAAATCGCCATAAAAAGTACCTAAATGGGATCAACCATTCTAAAAACGTTTTCCAAAACAAAATATTTGAATAATGATTTAAAGATTATAAATAAACAAAAGTAATTGATTATTTTTATATGTGTTCAATAAAAGATTCAACGTTTAGTATGAATACAATATTTTGATATGTCCAAAAACGACATAAAGTGGCCGTACACAATTTTTACAGCTTCTGGGTTGAAAACTGAAAAATATTAGGGAGTCTCTGCATGAATAATAAATTGAAACATAAAATGAAAATATTTTTTTAAACATTGAATACAAATACAATTGATTTTCATGGTATTATTACATGCTTAAAAACCTCAAAATATTTTCACCTGTTCATGATTTTCTTAAATGTTATTAAAAAGGAAATATATTTTCATCCATGAATAATGAATATTGAATCTTGTAAAAAAAAAGATATTAAAGAGAAAGTAAACGTAATTTCAAGTGACCCTCAATTTACAAAATGGCGTCACTCTTCACTTCCAAAATTGTTTATTCAAATTGTGTTTTCTCTTTAAACTTTCAAATTTCTCCTTTCTTAAACAATGGAATGTCAGAATTTAACAATTTTCTTTCTATTTTTGATTAGATAGAGGGTTAAAAGTAACTTTATTAATTGGGCATTTTTCTCTTTAATTAAAGGTCATTTGAAATTAACTTTTACTAAAGGGGCAGAGGTACGTGTGTTAGAGGTATTTTTCTAAACTTTATTGCTTTAACTATTATCCAAAACTGTGGGGCCTTTTTTAATTTGAATTGAAGGGGTACTTTCTACATTCATACTTGTCTAAATCCTTTGTATGCACCAAGGTTGTATAATAAGATTTCTTACTCCCGATGCGCTCAAATTTACGGGAAATGTCGTCTCCTGAGATAGATAACATCAGTATATGACGTCACTCTCGCCGCCTAAATAATCAGTGACCTCATATAAGGATTTTATCTATCTATGCTTGGAGACGACATTTCCCGTACACTGGAGCGCATGGAGAGTAAGCAACCTTATCATACAACCTTGGCATGTACGATGTCCAGAAATATTTAGAAAATCAGTTATATACGTGTATAAAGCAATACTCAGAGCAGTCTCAGTTTTTCGAATTAATTATTACTTATTGTTTCAGATCTCTTAAAATAATATTGATATGGCTGACAGGGACGTAAATTTTAGTAACTCTCATTGCAGCTTTGCAAGAGTGCAGCATGGTTAGTTCACATGTTGAAGGTGTACCAGAATTTGAACTAAATGGTTAGTTCACATGTTGAAGGTGTACCAGAATTTGAACTAAAGGAACTAGAAGGATTGAAAGGGGGAAACTTTGACCTGAAGTAAAGTTTAAAGATGGGAGGGGTAGATAATGAACATATATCAGTAGAAAAATAATAAGTTCTTGAAACGATGAAATTGTTACTGTTTGTCCGTGCTACGAAATTCGCTGTCGTGATAAAGATTTTTATCACAAGTGTTCTAAATTGTGGAAAATAATTTAGAATCATATAATTTAATTTGCACGAATACTACCAAATATATCTTCACCTGTTCAATGTATTTTTTTTCTTTAGAGCATATTCTTGAAATGGGAAAATCAATTATTTTAAAATCACGATTGGCCTATTTTTGTCTTTTATAGATTGCAAGTAAAGGGAGTGTGTTTTCAAACCCTCCCTTTTGATGTTGCCCTTGGAGTTCCGAAAAGAGGTTTGTGATAATTTTATAGTGTAAGTTTTGCGGTTTTAATTATTTTTGTTTTGTTTTACGATGTACACAAAGAGAACATGTTCACAACTAATTTATAAGATGGGCGCGAAGCGCCCTCTAAGGCTAGAAAGAAGGGCGAGAAGCGCCTTGAATTTCTAGTCTTCTAATTTAATCCCCCAGTTTCCTATGTATTTGTAGAGGCCCACCTTCTGCTTGTTGCAGTACGTTAGCTCTCAGTCCGCCTATAAGATTCTTGAGTATATTTAGCTCTTCTAAGGTTTCCGCCAGGTTTCCGCCAATCCAGGCTGTGGTTTTCATAAATCCCCATGGAAGCATGACAAACCATAGAAGATAAGTTCGGAGCTGTTCCTCCATTGTTGCAATCCTCTGTCTAGTATGATATACTTCCGATATGCAATCTTCGACTTCAACTCCTCTCTTTCAGTGAACTCTTTGATTAACTGTTTCAGTTTCGTGTCAGTCTTATCAGCTTCCTCAATCTCAATATCTTGTTTTAGCTGCTCCAGTTACGTTTCTATCTAGACAGCTTCTCCAACTCGATATCCCGTTTAGGTGCTCCAGTTCAGTATCTCTTACACTGCAATCTTAGCTGCTACTCCAGCTGCTCCTAGAGTCTTTGCTATGTTAGCTGTTCATTACCAGAGCTGCTTCTAGAGTCTATGCTATGTTAACTGTTCATTACCGGAGCCTGGCTATATTAAATATACAAATGCATAGAAGAAAAGTCCTTTTTATGAAAATGACTTTACCTCTTTTTCCCGAGACTTAGAACTCTTTTTTTATTTGTGACTTTAATTCCAGTGATCTTATTTCTTGAGACTTTATTTTAGGAAAAAAAGTCCTAGGAATCTAAAACTCAGGACTTTATTTTCAGTGACATTTTGATCTAGGACTTCAGAAAATTGGAACTTTTTTACCAACGTTTTTATTTCCAGGTTTTTTTT